AACCTGTTGGGTATATGGTGTTTGTCATAGTGGTCAGAATATTTGTTTAGACATCCAGAAATCAAGAAAAATATAAAGTAGATATAAGAACCTTTATTTATTCGTTTATCTTTTCAGTTCTATTTTCATGCATATTTGATCTAAAATCCTTTCTAGGTGGTTCTCTCTTTCTTTTTGACCGGAAGGTGCTACGGTACTTCCGGAAAGATGGACATAACTGGAGAAAGAAAAAAGATGGAAAGACAGTGAAGGAGGCTCATGAAAGACTCAAGGTATTTGAAATGTCACTTTGCTCTATGGTCTTTTGCTTAATTGCTTTGCTTGTTTGGATCTAGAATATTGCATGTCATGTTTCCTATATGCCTTTAATTTACTGCATGTCATGCAAACAATGAATTTAGAGACATAACAGAATCACTTTAGCTGACAGTAGCAATGATGTCCTAAAGTAACATATCTAAGGGGTAATGTTTTTTCAGGCTGGGAGTGTTGATGTACTGCATTGCTATTATGCTCATGGAGAAGAGAACGAAAATTTTCAAAGGCGTAGCTACTGGATGCTTGAAGAGTAAGCTTAATATATGCTTGAAATCTTTGCTAGGCGAAGAACATAGGAATGCTGAAATAGCATTTTCATCTTTTATGTTGATGAAGCTTTTCAATTTTCATGTCCAAGAAAACATTGTATGCAGTTTAGGGAGCGTACTTCTCCGAGAGGACCGAGACTCATAAATTATTGTGTCCGCGTTTAGAGTCTTCACATTTTGCACAATGTGTAGTTCTTCTTGGAGATTTTTTTTGTTTTGTTCTCCAATTATGTCAGCTTGCTTGTTGAATTTAACTGAAGAACCCCACTTGCAAGATATGTGGGCCCAGTTAACTGTCCAAAAGGCCTAAAAGATGGGTTTTGATAATCCTTCAGCAACCGATTATATTTTGATGACAGATATTACTGTTTTTAATCAGTTGGCCGTTTAAGGAATTTAATCGGCCATTATCATGAACAGATAATTTTAGTGTGTAAAAATTTATCCTCACCAATGAAGTGCAGCCTTTCAAACCAAAGTCTGTTTAACTTGGCCCAAGGGATGTGATTAGATCTAAAAATTGTTGGTATGCATTTGAGAACTAATTCAATGTAGTAAGATGCTCTTCTATAAACGAGACATAATACGTTGCTTAAGAATTTACTCTTAAGATATTGCTTGAAATTGCTTTGCGCTCTCAGAATCTGATTTTTTTTTTCTCCTTGACTGATTTATTTCTTCAGGGAGCTATCTCACATAGTTCTTGTTCATTACCGGGAGGTAAAGGTAATGATGCTTTTATTGTGTTTTCTTTGATATTACAAGTCGCCCCCATATACAAAATTACTGCAGCATGTCTGAAACTCTATTAGGGAGACTTTAAGCATGAACTATAACATCTCTGATGTATGAAAAATCTTAAGTTCCTAGAGATAACTTAGCAGGCATATCAAAATCTGAGATTGTGAAATCTGTATGATTTTCTGTAAATCCAACCTCAATTGCGTTTTGTAAACATATCAAATCAATCATAGTTCATTAGTTTTGAGCCTTGGCCCTATCCTGCTTAGTATTTTTAATCGGCTAAGGATGAATCACAGTTGTCTTACAGCACATCCCTGATTTATGTTTCTTACAGGGTAGCAGGGCAAACTACAATCGGTTTAGGGATGCTGATGTTACTCCCAATAGTGGGCAGAATCCAGATGTATCTAATTCCACTATGTATGGATCAGAAGCTTCTAGATCTCGACAATATGATCACCAAGGAGCATCACAGGTCACTGATACAACTAGCCATAACAGTACTCAGGCTTCAGAACGTGAAGATGCTGAATCAGGTTTGGTTTTTCCTGAATTTTTTTTCATGTTTATTGGTTATTTATTGTCTATCTACTTGGGAGTATGAGTCATTATTGTCAAGATTGTCATTGCTAGAGGATTTTTATCTGCAGCATACAGGCACGAAGCAAACGCTGTACTCCAGTCTATTCGTGAGTTACAATTGCCTGCAAAGCAAAAGATGGAAGTTGGTTCTATTCCTTATTATCCAGTTCCGACATCAAGTAAAGCATGAAATTCCTGTATTTCCTTTTGTCCTAACATTTCATATGTCACTTCTCTCCAGAACTGATAATTTATTGGATGTTTTGGACAAATGCTTTATAAATTTCTTAATTTTATCTGTCCCAAAATTATCAAATAGTGACA